GCAGCTGTGTGGTGCTTAGTTGCCAGCTGGCATTAAACTACAACAATATGTCAGACATTGAAAGCAGTGGAAATTGCCTCAACTGTAATGTATTCAATAGATTTACGCTGATTTCATTGAAGTTCTGGCCTCAAATAACTCGTGCTATTGGCTTGATTTGGCATTCTTTTCTTAACTAGCAGCAAGTCAGAGTATATTTGGGATATTTAGCAGCAGTTAACAAACCTCATGTTCTTCTCCCTTTCTCCTACCCTCTTTTTCTAACCTTCACACAAGCCTTAGATTTTCTAACCTTCACACAAGCCCTGCCACTAGAAGACACAAGCAGTACACAGGGAATGCACACATTGGATGAGAGCGGACAAATGCATTCCCATAGGATTTAAGTGCCCAGAATACATCTGGAGGTGTGGAGAGATGTGGACACAAGAACACACCTGGAGATACTGGAAGACATAGTTTTGCTTCCAAACAATGGAATGGTAAGGAAGTGATAGTCTTCTGAACTTTGGGAGGAAAGGTGAGAAAAGCTCTTTAGAGCTGTGAAGCAGAGAGCCTCCAGGTACTTCAGAGAGTTAGGGAAAAAAGAAACTGAGATGGCGGCACATATGTGCATCCATAAACACATACCTCATCCTGCTGTGCCTCCTAGCACAGACACAGGTGGCCACAACATTCCACTGCACATCTCTCAGCACACATGCACTCCTGTACTCCTGTCCCAGGACACATACACACTTGACTGCCCCATCACCCCACTGTCACCCTCACCACTCATACACACATAGTATTAACCTGTCATGTGCTTAATCTCCCAGAAAAGAAACAACCCTTTTATAGATTATTTCCCTACTTTTCCCCCTTCCTTCCTTTTCCAACCAGACCTCTTCAACAAACATCTCTCTGGCAGCAATGTTTAACATGCCTTCTGAGTCTATAACTTGATGGACTCATAATAAGGAGGCTGTGTGCAAACCAGCAAAGCACCAATTCTATAAATTTGTAGATTAAAAATTCATGCAGGGCCATGCTCTCCCCACAACCTTTTCCTGTAAGAGCAGTATTTTATTCAGGCTGGGATCACTGTTAATCAGAAAAGTACATATTGCTAATGCACCTCTGCATCACTGAGAGCTAGAGGAAAGCTTTTGTTTTCATCTCCTCTTCCCATTAAGAATTGTTGCATGCTCTCGCTTCTGATCCATTGAGCCAGAGGTTTTAGACAGAGCTGAAAAGTTGCTTTCTGTTCTGAAAAATCAAGGGAGGACACTCTGGGTATCTGACTTAATCCTAAATTTTGTCAGTTTGACCAGAGTTTGTCATCTTTAGGACAGAGCAAATAAGAGGGGACAGCAAGTTGATGAGCTTTGGGCTGAGCAAAACCAATGCTCTAACCACCTTCCTCCTTACCCCCAATTTGTAATACATTCAATTTTCAGACAGATTTTAACTAGACAGGGTCTTCCAAGCCCTGGAGCACAGCACAAGGCTGATGGCTGCTATGCTTAAGGCTCAAGATGCTTAAGTAGTACAAGCGTCACTTTTATGAGCTGTAGTAGCATAACATGACCTGGAGACTGCCAAAGCAAAGTGGATTTCCAAGCTCCTTACTGCTCTCTGGCAGACAGAATATATAGACCATTTTTCCTGGTAACTGATCCCTGACCACTGAGCCAAAGACATTAGACCAAACCTAAGAAATCATCTCGCCAAGACACAAAGGAAAGCATGTCTTACAAAGGGTTGCACCTACATCTTGACACATCATCCAGAGAGACTTCTTTGCCCTCCTCATCTTACAACCAGGAGTGAGAGAAACCATCAGCTGCCTGCCCAGTACATTATTAAATCAATGCCTTAAACAAGACTCATGTCCCATTCCCCATTGACTTGGGAAACTGTATTCCACCTCACAGAAGCAGAGGGAGGGTTTCAGACTGCAACAAGCAAGGTACGTTGAAGGCCTGGAAATCTGCACCTGGGCAGATTCACACACGTGGGTTCTCTGGAAATTGTCCTGGGCCACTGAAGTCAGAGGGACCTTGGTAACAGATCTTGATGTGCACACGATCAAACACTAGAAGCAGTGCCACCCACTGATTTTGACAATGATTAATCCAAGGGGTTAGAAACGAGGCCAGCTTTAAACCTGGAGACTAGGATACACACCTGTCTTAAAATTCCATTTTGAATATTGTTTGTACCCCACTAATGTCATTAGAGAGTGCTAGCCTTATCTTGGGCTGCAGAAAAGCTGGGGAGAGAAACATATAGCTGGAATCTGGACAGGAAAAGCTCTAGCTTGCCAATTTGGAACAAGCCTTAGAGTCCAGATTTTTTTTTTTTATTATTTTTTTTTTATTTTTATTTTTTTTTAGGTCAGATTTAGCTTATGCCCCTAATACAATATTCACCACTGGGCAGGATCTGGGCACATAAATTATTTAACAGAGTAAGTACTGTACTGAATGCAAAGCTCCCCCTAAAGAGCTCCATCTGCCTAAAATATATTCTTATAAGGCAGCCCCTCATCAAACAGGCCATTCTTATCCCATATTTTGTTTCACAGCTTGCAGCAGCAAAGTCTCATGGGCCACCATAGGTCCTGTCTGCTGCCTGGAAGCAAAAGGTTTATATTGACATCTGGCAAAGAAAATCTCAGCACAGATTCTCAAAGGCATTTTGATGCTTACCACAAACCTTTGTGGTTTTGAGTCTGCCTCCCTTAACACAATCACACCTGTTCCTCTGCAAGACTAAACTATTCACTTTTACAAAATACAAATGAGATACTCTTGCACTAAGACAGTTGGCCAGATGGATATAGACTGCATGAAGACATCCACCATGTGAGTCTTGACTATGTCTGCATTGCATAGCTCAGTACTCAGTGAGCACACAGGGTTCCCATTTCTGGTCTGTGGTTCAAACAAATCTGCTGAAGCAGGTCACAGCTTGATTTCTGAGCTCTTGGTGCGCTTTCAGAGCATGAGGTTTATGGTGGAACGTCAGCAGATGGTCTTCTCTCTATGTATGAGAAAAAGGGAACTATACTGGTCTAAGCCACAGGCCAGTCTAACTCCACATTGGAATCCAGGCACTGCTCTGCCTAGATTGCCTGTAGACCACCCAATGTCTCCTTCCCCCATCCCCTAAAGTTTCTCAACTTACCTCTTGAATTTGTAGATTAAAAAAACAGCCAAGCCTACAAACACCACAGACAACAACATCAGCATCGCTGAACTGCTATGACCCGTACTGGAATCAACAAGGGGTGCTGCAGGAGAAAAGGCAGAGCATTACATTTACAATATATTATTAGGGTACACATAACTACCAGAAAGTTGAGCTCAAGTCTGTCTTTGCCACACTTGCTTTATCATCACTGTATGGTTCCTGCTGTTTTCAGCAAGACCAATCAGTAGGAACCAAATTGACTCTCTTCTCTTTTGAAAGCCAAGCTCCTTTCTCAAGACAGTGCAGTCTAACACCTCCTAGTGAACAGGCACAGCAAGTCATGCTTAGCTGAATGGCTGATCACTCCTCTGTTAACACTCTGGGTTATTCCTTTTCAGGCTTTTCCAGGGACTGGAGTGGAAATTAAATTTGTGAAGTGTGAATTAATGCATCTCTATTCCACTTTGGAGAAGCTACCTCAGAGCATCCATGAAGAGCATGACTCCCATCTTCCAAGGACATGTGTCTGTGTCACATGTGACAGGGATCCAGTCTTGTAAGAAGCCTCAAGGCTAATCCTTGTATTGGACCTTACAGACTTTTTAATTGAATCAGTTTTCATAAGGTGGAGCAATAATCCTGGGCCCCAAAGCAATAATCCTGGACCCAAGCATGCACTACATTATAATATTTCGGAGATCTGATCCATCTATCCACGATATTTTGCATGGACTAAATAAAGGGTATTACTATACCTTGCAGCTATTCCCACAGCTCATCAAAGCAGACCATCTTAATGGCCTGAGCACTGCTGAGAATCAAAAGTCTGATGGGAAGCCTCTAATGACGTGCAAATGACTATAAGCAGCAGCTGAGTGTTTCTCACTGTGCATAAATATTTGTTTTAGGGTTTTTTTTTTTACTGTTCTCTATTCTATTTCTGTCACCCAGAAGACAAAGTCTATGCAAATAGAGTCACTTCTGGTTCCATTGTCAAATTTTCACACCTAAGAGTCTGATTATGCCAGTATTCTGCTTCTACTACTTCTACAGACTCTTTAGTGGAAAAGAACTAACTGTCATTTCACCTGAGTCAAAATATTATGGGAATGGCCATGAAAAAAATGCAGCACCCCCACTGGGGGTGATGAGAGAATAGTTGAGCACTGTAAGCTAAATCCACACTTTGCAGTGTCTTACTAGAACAAACCCCAGATTCTGAACCTGGAGACTGAAGATATTTGGATCTCATTCCCAGTTTTGCAAATTAACTCATTCCAGCCTACTCCTATTAATGTCTGACGCTCATCCCCAAACAACCATCAGAGAGTGAAGGTAAAAAGACATTACCTGTAGGATAGGTCATGAGCCTTGGTTTAGCCCAGCTCTTGCCTCTCTGAGAGTCTCATGTAAAAAGAAGCTGAAGTGTATTATCCTGGGACATGGATCCCAATCTTTCAGAGAGGCTATCAGCAATGTCACATGCATAAGATCCCACATTTCAGATAATTGCAAGGGTAGTCATAAAAAGCAAAGGGCAAAAATAAATCCATCATCTCCTCTGTAGTCATCACTGTCTCATCAATAGCTGAGCTTCACACTAGGCTGGCCTGAATTCTCAGCAGTAGCTGAGAGTTTTACACTAGGGTGGTTTAAAGAAAAGGGGATGATGAAGTTTAAAGTAACTATTCATTACTCTGTGAAAATGGAGATACATAGTATTGAAATTTAAATAAGTTCTAATTTGTAGAAGTCAGTATTCAGGCACATATTTCCTGTAAGAGGCCTAGATCTTTTCATGAGTACTTTGCCCCTATAAAGCTTCTTGGCTAGTCATAACATTAACAAGCCCTTTGCAATAAGGATTTGATCCAATATCCATGAAAGTTAGTAATACTCCCACTGAATTCCACAGGTGTCCAATGAGGGCTTAATAGAAAACTATTCACCTGATTTTCTAAAATACTTAAAAAACATCAATGCACTAGTTAATTAAGCCATAGGGAACTCTTAAAAGGTACTTTTAATACTTGTACAAACTGGTGCATGAAGAGGTCGCTGCTGGATTCTGTTTTTAACACTGCCTGCTTCTACCACAGACGATGTCTCAATACAGTCAGTCCTGTGTATCCCAGTAGCACATACCAAACTGTGAGTGCTTTGATGTAGACTGGTTCTCCTGGCATTGTCTGAAGCCTCAAGAGAACCATAGCTATGCATTTGACTCCACACTCACCTAATGTTAACTGAGTAACATATACAATGACTTCAACACCGGGCTTCAGTTCAAACTGGACCAGGTTCTGGTTGAGAGCATTAAAAAGGACTTCTACCACCTGATTAAATAATAAGAGATAGAAGTAGTTACAATATAGAAGACAGCAAGCTCTGGAGAACATTAAGGAATGCATGTAGCCTATGAATGGTGGCTAACATCTGTTACTGGCTTCAGGAAGAGAACGGAAGGGAGAGACTGAGGAAGCACATGTACATGTGT